TGTTAAAGGCATATATAAAAATATTAAACCACTAGCAATGAAACATGTATATGTAATGATGCAACAAGACTTTTTATTTATTTATTACACAAACTTATTTCAACCTTGCACAAACTTCAACCAGAAATACACTTCACTTCACACAATACGTAGCAAACACATTTTATTCCTTCTGGTAAACCCAAAACGTACGAAACTCACACTAACTTAAGGAGTTTGTAACCTTCATATAATCAGAGTTGCAAAAACCTTTTTATCCTCACTTCCCTTAATTTGCTTGACTTTATCAAATGCTTATTCGTAGACGACCGACCATAGCAAGCGAAGGATCAACCATCGACCTTCATGTCAGTCTCAGAGTCCCACTTGAATGCTCCACTTGGCTGCGACGCGTCGACAATATCCTCAACCGTGAACTGCGAATTCGGCGTTTTCAAAGGCACAATCTCATGACCATACTTCTCTGCGTCTCCACAGTAATCCTTAAATTGTTCCCATTGCAAAAAACTATTACAAGTTATGTTACATAAATCAAAAAAAGAGAGTCTATGTATATAATAATACTTACTTGATCAGCATGCATTTTCCTCACAAACTTCTTGAACAGCTCGTAGTTGTTTTCTTGAAAGACCGTATCGGATAACCTAAGGTAAGTAAATCCGTACATTCTCAGCTTCGGTTTACCGTTCCGGTTAACCCCATTAGGCCTCGCGTTGAGAAGAATCTGGTTGTAACCTTTGGTTCCATAGGTTTCCAATGCGTTCTCACCCGCAACTTCTATGCCTTCTTTCCATGCTTGACTCAATACCTAAACCAAAGATTACAAATAGAGACCATTGAATAAACTTATACTTACATATTATTCCTTTTCTTTGTTCAGTTTAGTTACCTGTTGAACAAGCTCTTGAGGAGCACTTAGGGCTTCAGCTGTATTGTCGGTATCTTTCATCTCAAGGCAAGTAAAATTGAGAATGCCATAGTGTTTTGAGAGCATACGAGCGATCGGACGGTAACCATCTCTCTTGAAAAGGTTGTAATATCCGGCAGTTAGCTCCGCCGCGTGGCTGTGATGGTTGTACAACCAGTGAATCCCCGAAACCTAACACCATTCACATACACAATTTAGACTCAAAAACTAGTTACCTTGCAAGACAAGTTAATTTTGAAAGAAATGTTTTAGTAATACCTTGGCAGCTAAGTTAACTTTAAGACCAACAAAGATCTTGTTGGCTTCCCCTATGATCTGATCTCCGTGAAAGATGAGTTTGTTCGAATACCATGTTAAGAAAAACTTGCCCTCCTCCGACACATATGTCCCATTACGCTTGAAAAATCCAGTTTCCTCCGGTTTGTTGTTGTATTCTCCGGCGTCTACTGGCAAATCCCACTCAGGTTGGCCTGCTTTCGCCGCCGCTTCCTTGAAATCTTTCTTCAGGTACTTGTCATAACACTGGAAAATCAGCAAAACTCACTGTTTTATTCAAGCGTAAAATGGTCCAAAGACAAACATGTGTGGTGAGTTTTTACGAAATTAACCTGAAATTCTCCGATGCCGGGAAATACCCAACCTTGGCTTTCTGGGTAAGAAGGGTAACGAAGTTCTCCGGCAGGACCAAGTCCGACTTCGATGTCAACAATCACACCGGCTTCTAAAAGATCCAACATGTTTTCTTTGAAGCTCCTCATGTAATCACTGTACATCTGATTGAAAAGATTGATTATGGACCAAAAATCCGGAACTTTCTATATATAAAAAAATCTGATCCGCGTTTTCTATTAACGCAAACGCTGAAGTTTATTACCTGAACAGCGGTTCTTCCGGCAAAGAGAGGAAGATTGTCAACGCCAATTGAGAGATACTCGATGTCTCTTATTCCTTTACGGTTAGTGTAAAAGATATCCGGATCGCTATCGCCGACATCGCGAACCCATTGGGGGATGGGGATTGTGACAACGTCGCCAACGTTTCCACCGCATTGATGAAATGACATGATTGCTTGGATTTTGAGTCCCAAACGTGCGATTAGTTGGAATAGCGTTTTGTATGCGGTCCAGTCATATTGTTTAGGGCCTTTGGATTCTATGATTCCCCACCACACATCGACCATAACACCATCAATGCCAGCTTCCTCTTTCAAACGCTTGAGCTGCGTCTCAAGCGTTTCTGGATCAGTGAATACGTTTTCCACATTCACCACTCCCAACTGCAAATTTACATTCGTTATTTTATTTTTAAATTTATAACCAATTGGTAAAGTTCGAACTTGAATTTGATCATTTTAATTACAACAAGAATTCTCTAAAAATGATGAATTTTATTTTACACAAAGAAGATTGGAAAACTACATCAAAGTTTCAAAAAAAAAAAAAAAAGATTGGAAAAGTGTGTGGATATAACAGTAATTAGTGTCAATCAGTCGAAACTCGGAGCACAAACGGTTTATTGAACTAATTCTCTTTCTATAGGTATGACTAATATTTGAGAATTAGAAGCCCAAATTTTATATATTATTTGGGAGTCCGAGGCGAATGCATTTTTTCTAATACTATAGGCACGTCTTTGCTTCTACCAAAAATATTACAAAAAAAAACACATACATCTAAATGTTTGTTTAAAATAAATGTAAATACATAAATATGACAATGCACATTACGCGTGGAACGGATCCGGATATCCTAGATCCGAATATTTTAAAAATAAATAAAATAATAAATAAATAAATAATATATTTTTAAAAATTATTAGTTAAAATTTTGAATGATATTTTTTATAATAAATATAATATATTATAAAAAGAACTAAAATCAATTTTTATACATTTATTTATATAAAATAGCTTAACAGATGTAAAATATATATGTTTTTGATATAATTAATGCGTCCGGATCCGAAACCTTTTTTCACGGATCCTAGGTTTTACTATCTTTATCCGGATCCGGACTCCCTGAATATCCTAATTTTTGGAGCGAATCTAAACGGATACCTTCGGATCCTAGATAATAGTTCCACCCCTAAGTAGAAGAGTCCTTTTCAGTTTTTGTCTTTTAGGTAAATTCAAGTCTTAGCTCGGATCAATATATTTATTAAGCTTAAATCCAGAACGAAATAGAATAAATTCATGCAATATAGTCGAGCTCTTAAATTATTAGTCAAATTATTGTCAATCGTGATGTTTGAATGTTTCTGTCGTATAATATATTGTGTCCAAGTTCATTATGTAAACTGGTATACTATAAATCAGTCGATTTTGTTTATTCTCTTCCGGTTTGCTTTGTCGTCTTGTCTTGTATATATATAAACCGCACCATTGTATAGTTTTTGACCGATTAGTTAGACTGAGATTATTTACATTTCACTACATAAGATAGTATCAGTGCCAAAGGTTAATTCAACCAAAGACCGATGATCACTTACCGGAAGCATAATGTAGACCGGAACATAGTTGAGAAGAAGCTTTTCGTCGTAATTTGCAGCCATTTTCTTCTAAATTCAAACAAAGAAAGTACAATTTATTTTCTTTTTAATATTGCTA